GTGACGAGACATTGAACTACATCACAAATAAAAATCCAGGGAAAAAAGCCTGCAGAAAGTAAGATCACACATCGGCTTGCGTTGAGCTGCATTTCAGCATGGTAGACTATATAATTTTTCTCTAAATTTAAAAAGCTAGCAGTTGCCCCTTAATTTCATAAAGCTGTGACTCTGCCCTCTAAAGCCTTGGTAAAGCAGACTAATAGAAATACTTGGCACACGTTGGTTACCTAAGGGAATAATAGAACTATTTGCTGTAGTCGTTTGGCAAAAGGACATAAACATATGGCTTTGGTTTATATTCAGCACTGCCAGTTGTGCAAAGTTGCATGGATGAAGTATACAACAGCAGTGACAACTCAGAAATCAGAATTGAGAATCAAAATAAATCATCCTCATTACAAAGCTATTCAAGCTTGCCTCTGATTTAAGGTTTATTTTGTCGCTGCATATTTTCAAGTAGCGACTTCAATATAAAAACCATTTACTTCTCAAAAATATGTATACCATTCAACCACACAATAAAATGCTGAATTGTTGATGATTTATATGTGTTATAAACATGCTTTAAAGTTTGCATTCAGTATATATACTTACTTATTTTAATTCCTGAGAAAAGAATAAATCCGAACCAATTATTTCCATGTTATTCAACTTTCTCTTAGAGAAATCAGGAATAGTATTGTGTAAACGAAAACAAAAGTTTCAGAAATAAAGATGAGATGACTACTTAGTTAAGAATAATCAAAAATCACAAAACAAGGCATATTTTCAGTAATAGTCTTTAAGAACACCTATTTTGTAAGTATTTTTTCTCCTTTCTGGCCATCAACATGTTATTAAAAAAAAAGAAGAACAAGAAACTTTAACCACAGTACAAGCAATGTTCCTAAAAATTTTTCCTTTGGATTTTGGATTTTTTACTGTCAGTAATCAGAATATATAAGCTTTATCTAGAAGTTGCTATATGTGTATTTTGCATTTCCTTCTCACACCGTACTTCGCTGTCAGTCTGCCGTTAATACTGCATATTAAAAAAAGCTATCGTAGAGTGACAGAAAGATGCAGTCAGCACGCATATATACACAGACAGAAAAACAGTGCTCTGTACTTCTGGACAGGCTATAGGAAATCTTCTTGCCTTCAGATTTATTTAAAAAAATCTTTTTCTTTATGACATTATTCTCTTTTTATGCATTAGATTCTTAAATGAGTTATTGAAAAGAAACATTAAAATATGAGTAACCAAAGCACTGAAAAGCTTGCTCTGACCTTATTATTTATTGTGGGGAGAGGCACACACAGTGTCATGTCACCTTGGGGCACAGAACCACCCAGACGTGTTTGTAGTGCTTAGCTTAGTCTGACTTCAACTTTGACATTTGTGGCTTGTGTTTGAGACTTGAGGATAGGTTTGTGTGCCTTAAAAATTATCAAGTGGTGGTTTTTTTTTTTCCCCTAACTAAGTTCATTAGTCTAGTGACAGATGTAGCTGTTGCCTCTATACAAACTTAAGTAGTTTACAAATTAAAAATAGTAGAGAAAAGCTATTCTTTTTTCAGATCTCTCAAAATCAGTTAAGGTTTGTCCTAGAGAAGTTGTTTGCCAAATTTCATTTTGCAAATCAGACGTAGCTTTTAGTTGGAAAATCACAACAAAATGTCAACTTTCATACTCCTTACCTCTAGATAAACTGGTGATTTTTCCTCTAGCTAGTCATGCAAAAGGAAACAGACTGCCACTCCAGGAGTGTGAAACCCACTCAGGGAAAGCCATGCTTTTACAAAGATTACAACAGAAATTAGAAAGTGCACAGCTCTTACATTAGCTCTTTCCAGGAGGTGCATTTCACTTTTACCTATGTCAGTAGCACTGGCTTCCCCAAGTCACAGTTTATTTCACAGTAATGTGCTGTGACGCTATCTTACCAAGATAGTAGTATCAATCTAGTTTCTGAAATTCAGTACTAAAATGTGCAAGTAAACAGAAATAATAATTATTATTGTTACTGTTATTGTTATAATTTATTGCACATGCCCTATTTTCAGCTGTTAGTCATATTCTTGGATCCAATTATAATATCAGTACATGCACATGTGCACAGATAGACTCCAGGCACACAAAAAACCAAACTCACAGCCAAATCCTGATTCTCTCACTCAGGGAAGTATTTCCAGGTGCTGCTCTTGAGTCCGCTGACTGCAGTGGAATGGTACAAACAGAAGTAACATTTGGTTTCTGCAGCCAGGAACTCTGAAATAGTTTGCTCAGAAAGTATGATTGCTGCTATTCCACCAGTAAATTCATCTGGAGAAACATGAATACACTGTAGCAGTCACATAGCAAGTTACTCCAGTTTCAGCCAAGCAGAATTTGTGGTATTGTCGGTGACTCCAGTCAGTTTTCTGGGATCTAGTTATTGACTTACCCTTAAGTCTCAACCAATATTGAAGGAAAAGTGGAGGGAGGATCATACTGAAATTCTTGAAGTCAGACAGAAAGCATTAATAAAGTTAGTGAGACTTGTTGAAACACGCTTTCAGAAAATAGCATCAACATCCTCAGTAAATTTCCACATCACAGAAATAGGGCATAACTGAAACAACTCTAAGGCAGTCATTTATTTCTTAGCCTGATTGCCTAATGATTTGGGACTGCATAGCTGCTACCCCTCTGTCACTGTGTTTCTGACTGTATATCTCCCACTAGTTCCTTTTGAGTCCATTAGCTAGTTTCAAGTAATTTTGAAAAGAAAATGTTTAGATGGGTTTAAAACCCATCAAATCAGAGAATCTATAAGATACAAAGATAAAGTGGAATTAATTCCACTATTCACTTGTCGCTATTTTTGTGAAGCTTGTCCTTAAAAAATATGAGACTGCAACTCCCAATAAAATTTTCCTGGCAAGCACTTAGATATTATCCCGATGGTCCTGATGGCTAAAACATCATGTGAGACATCATGTAAGGATTTTGTGCAGACATGACCATTCTACTTATCCCTTCTTGTCTCAAGACAACATATGTACTGGGAAGGAGGGCTGACCACTCCCAGCTTTGAGAGTATGAAGCACCTTCCAGAATCCATCCAATCTTTACAGTACACAGCAGTAATAAGATATGTCTTTCAAATTAACACCTTGTTAACAATTTCCTCTAAAAACTTTGGATGGAATTTCTCACTTAGAGTTTAATTCTTTTGTTGTTCCATGGGTGATGTAAAAGTTTGAATACTTCTTACTGACTATCTGTGGCTGTAATTTCATGTAAAATAATCACTATGTAGGTAAAAATCAGAAGTGAGAAACTTTGTTCACTTTTTTCAGTACCAGACTCTGAAAGAACTATCAAAACCCAAAGATATTACATTTACATTTTGAGAAAGAGAGGTCTTTTTGCTGACACACTTAAAAGACTTCACAGTTTTATTCAGTTACTTTTGTATAATTTTCAAGTTAATGCATGGGACTTTTTGTAAGTTAAGGTGTTTTTTATGCAACACAGACAGGATGTTTATTTTAATATGTGGTATGCACCAGGCTAAACAGTCCTATAAATTTTAGGTTTGAGTTGATTAAACATCTCTCATAGTTTCAAATTATTACAAGGAAAGAAAATCAATAGAAAAATCACCTGCATTGATTTTATTGTTGGTTTTCACTCATTGTGCAGTTTTAAAATATTCATCACAATGCAACGTGCTATTTAGACCAAAGTAACTGCTGTTCACTAGAAGCAGTGGACACGTTTTGTTTCATAATTAAAAGAGCAGCACTGTGATTGGTGTGGTATTTATTATGAAATGATGACAAAGGAGTACCAGTGGTTTTAATAGTTTTAGCTTACAGGAGCTGTTGTTAATTTTGTCCGTAGAGTTGCAGGTGAAATAATGCACAGTGGATAAATAGTCTATATTGGTTTAACTGAACATAATATATAGTGTGTTCTGGAGTTGTTTGTCTCAATAGACTATAGTAATCAAAAGTAATGAACCTATTATGTGCAGGACCTTGGAGAGCATAGAATGGCAGTAAAAGTGTGGCACATAAAAGGTTTATTAAAGGAAATTAAAGTCCATCATTGCCACACCTGCTCCCCTATTATAAGTCTATGGCAGGTCAGTGCCTTCAATCACAACTCAGCATCAGAGAACAGAGCCATGTTTCCCATTACCATTGCAGTCACATTGCAAAAACTCGTTCTGCAGGTTTTAAGGATAGTAACAAGTAAAGGCTGCCATCAACGCCACTACGTAAACACAAGCCACTTATGTTCCTTCCCTGCTAATAATCAACATCAGATGTAAATTTAAACAGAGAAAAGATATCATTGTCTGGCTTTGAGATGCATTTTGATCAATTTATACTTTCATTTCAGATATCACTAACCTGCATTCTAGAATTAGACTTCTTCAAGTACACGAATACCCTTTTCAAATGCTTGTGTTCTCTCCTGCAAATAGGTATTTTGATTCCAGGAGCTGTATATAATGTGTAACCATGTATAACAACAAACAGAAAAAACCCAGGAAATTAGAAAAATGCTTTTTCTTCCCTAGAAAGGCTGACTTTACTCTTTTTCTTTCTCAGGTCAATTTTGTCGTATTCTGCAATGTCCTTTCAGATAAGACCTTCAAAACATCTCAGTTATCTGAGTCATATAAAGCTAAAAATAAAACATCCTCAGATCTTCAAACTCTATAAATGGAAATAGGCACAAACAGAGCTTCATACATCTTCCCTCCGTGGGGCAAATCAGTGCTGTTGATCCTCAGAAAGGAAGAGTGAAATAATAGACATGATCTTCTGTTGACATTGTTTTTTATCTTGCGACCTTTTGCAGGGAAAGATGTCAGGCATAGGCAACTTCTGGTATCCACAGAATGCATCTATCTTTTGCCCAACACAGTTATATAAATCAGATGTTGGTGTCAGCATTTGTTCCCGCATATTGATGTGCAGAAGCACATGGGAGTTGCCTCATCTACAGTATGTTTGATCATCACCATTTTACAGAGAAACCAAGATCCAAAGCAAAGATAGATAATAAGATACTACCATAGACTGAAGAAGAATTCCAGAGTTCCTGATATTTTGCCTAGACAAAAATTCCTTATGATAGAGTCTTCCTTACATAAAAATTAAGAGTTACTTTTAGAAAGAAGAAGAGTTTGCCTCCCTGGACATGGTCAAAATTACACTGTTGTAAAATCTGCTGTATGACACTGCAGCTCTCCACATCAGAACATGAAATCTTAATCCCTTTGAATTTCAGGGGTTTGTAAAAAAATCCATGGATTGAAAACCTGCCCCTACAATTATGGGTCTGGGCCAGATCCAAGACCAGAAGGTGCATATTTCCAGTGCTGGTTTAGACGTAGCCAAAAGTGTCAGGAGAAGAGCGGATTTTGCAAGGTCTCTCTTATTTCAGTTAAAAATCTTATGGCAACAGCTGACTTTTTGGTGGGTTGGATTTTTTGGTTGTTTGGTTTGTTTTTTTTTTTAATTTATGTGAAATACAAACCTGGACACTACATTCTTACAAAAACTCATACAAATCTGTAACCGTCTCTTTGACCAAAACTTCTGTAAGAAGTAGTTGATTAAATAGTGAAGTATTTCAAAGCTGTACATGTGCAATTATGCACATTCAAGCAAGAGGGTTTCACGTTTTAAGGATGAAGTTGTCAGAAATGCAGGTTCCAATGCAGCTATTAAGATATGCTTCAGTTACAACAATAATGCAGAGTCCCTGTAGGCACTGTGGCTTTCTGGGACCTTTTCTTCCAGGAGGTGGATGCTGAAAGCAGCACTCATACAGCATTGCTGTGTCTAACCTTATGCCTTCAGCTAACACCTGTAGACCTTGTCATTAAACCTTACAGAGTCACTCATAACCATCACTTTATTAAACAAATCTGTATCATTAAAGGTTTCTCCTAGGTATTTAGCAGATATTCACAGATGGCTTTTTATCTCTTTGACAAGATTAATAAGGCATGATTATTCTTCTTTCTATTACTGTCTAGCCTTTGGAAATGTGAAAAAAAAGCATTGGAGACTTTTTTTTTCTCAATGGCAAAAAGAATGAATTAAAGACTTTGTGTTAATATTACAGATGGATGCAGATGGGGAAAATAAAAAGCTGCGCACACGCTCAAAAGGAACCAAGGGTGAGTTAGCAAGCACGTTCCACGACCCTGTGCCCAGCACACCATGAAATATGATAGTTCCTGTGCACAGTCCCTAATGTGCAGTAAGAGAGTGTGTAGCTTCCTTAGGGCTGCTTTTTTAATCAAGGCAGGACACAGACTACTGGCATTAAGAGGCATGATGTTATTAACTATGGTTTAAAGAAAAGCAGAAAGAAAACCTACTGTATTCCATTTTCTTTGAGCTATTTCTCAAAGAAAATAAAGGCTATGCTTTTTATTATGCAAACAAAGATTTTCCATAGGGAGTAGAGCTAGACAATATTGAATGGATGCTTTCAAGATAATGTACAAAACTTTGTTTCAGCCAACTGAATGTTTTTCTGTCTGTTGGCATTATTTATCTGTAAATTAGCTGTGTAAATGGTCCAGAAGTAAATTTACTTTAATCAAAAGGTGCAGGTGTATGCAGCAGAGAAGAAGCCTGTGCTTTTTTTAAGTACTGGTGCTCGTGTTTTATTTTGTAAAGTTCATGACATAGTTGTATTTCCCAGCTATTCCTCTCTTTTTGTAAGGAACAGATGGAAATGCAGTACTGAGAGATAAACAGGCCCTTAATGATCTCAACATCTGGAAAACATGATTGACTAGCAATACAGCCCTTCCAGGAAAATAACTTTTTATTTTAATTCATAACACTTTTTGTGACTCTTGATAATGAGTGAAAAATGGAGATACTTAAAAATAAATGTCAAAGTCCTGCCTGTCCTGTGAGCATTTTTGCTTATGACTATTTTCAGAAGTGCAAAGCACCCATCCTTCACTCCGATTTTAATGTGAATTGTGCACTTTCAGGATTGTGCAAAACAGACTAGTTTGATTCATTGTCAAAACTCAGTAGTTCTGGGTTGTTAATATCATGCTTCAGCTTCAAGTTATGGTTGGAATGAAAAATAAAAGAAAGTGTGGTTTGGCTTAGTTCTTTAGTTTCAAATGGCCAAAGAGGGGAAAAGTGTTAGACTTCACTTAGGAAAAGACAGAGGAAGTGGGTGGGAGTGTCGCAAACTGCCCGTAGACAAGAGGATAAATACAGACAAGCCTTTCTAAAAAACATAAGCATTGTCATATCAAATCTTTGATGCATCCCTCAGTAATGTTCTCTGAAATGAATGTAAAATTTGTACATGCTTCAAAAGTACCAGAACAGAGGACTTGAACAAAATTATTGAATAGGGAAGTTATTCACACCTCAGCTCTAGACCATGTCTTCTCTGTTGGTCAGGATGGTGAGTAAAAACAGCCTGGCTGGCTTAGCAGACCTTAGTTGTATTTAATAGGGGATTCATACACTTTTTACTCAAAAAACTAATAACATTTTTAAAACTTATGGATTTTCTTTCTCTTTATTTTTTATACACATGCACACACATCTATAGGAGTTAATAGATCAGGAATATTTTCCCACAAGTGAAACAACAAAAGTTGCCTGAGTAATATGAGTAATTCTTAGAACCACCTGTTGGCTTTGTCAGTATGCTGTATATCCTTGTGTGGGCAGGTATTTGTAAACACCAGCCTTCGTCATTCCCCAATTGAATTAAAATTCGGAAAAGGCAGAGATTTGTCATTCTACTTTTAATAAAAACAAGTGCCTTCTCTTTTACTTTTATTTTTTCTTATTATTTTTCATATTGTTCCACTGAACATCATACTCCAGGTTTTATGCATCCTAAAAGAACAGTGAGAATTATATGTTCAGTTAAGGTTTGCCACTAGTGGCTACAATCTTGTGGTTAGCCTGAAATTATCATCTGTGTTTTGATAACTGCTTCTCTGTCATCACAGATAGGCAGGTGCAAGGTTGCAGAAAGCACAAGTCTGGAAGTGTAAACTAATTCATTCTTTCCTGCTTTTATTAACAGTTCAAGTGGACTCGATAGCTCAAGAGCTCAGGTAAGAACTCACATTGTTTATTTTTTCAGTTTTATTTTCTGATTATATTGATAAATTCATACCAATGGTATTGCTATAAAATAAAGAATCCAGCAAATGATGCATTATGTAGAGTTTTAGCATAGATCTGACACAGGGTACTTGATGCAGATTCATTTTTTAAATATATCAAAAATAAAAGCAAGATGTTAGCATTAATCGTGCAAGTATAACAAAAAGTAACGCAAAGTGGGCAGGATTCTGGTATGCTGTCTTTATTTTCAGCCTGTGTCAGGGCACACAACAACAGAGTATAGTTTCTGATCAGTCTTCAGTCTTCTTTTTCCTGTAATACGTATTACAGTATTTTAACATCTGAACGTTCTAAGAGTTATTAACCTTTGGTTTTGTTAGATGGCTTTTATAAAACTGGTAGTCTCTGTACACTACTGTGAATTTTAAATGCACTAGTGGTTCATTCTTCCTCAAGTACTTGCTGAGGTTCCATATTTTATTGAAGTAGCAGAGAGTACTTTTCAAGTTTGCATAAAGCATAGCAGTCCATTCAAAACCATAAATTCTGCAAGGATATTTCAGATCACCAATAATCTAGTAAAATTTTAACGTTACTACTTTAATCTTACTAATGTGTGCATCAACTCCTAATAACTGGTCCAAGAGCTTAGAACAAACCCTGGAAAGACTGCTATATTATTCAGTACCAAATCTTCAAAAAAGAACATGTACCATCAAGTTCAAGTTTTCCTGGGACAAGCTCACTCTTCATGTTACCCGAAGAAAATATTTACAGGTAGCTGCAAATTCCTAGAGTTATTAATGAAAATTACAATGGACTACAGCTGCAATATAAATACTGAAAACATTTTTGCAAAAGCTCTTAAGAGTTTTGCTTAAATTAATTTATTTTGCCTACACTCACTTTTCATCACATGCTACTGAGCTGCTTTCTTAACCACAGCAGGCATCTGAAGTATGTGCTTGTGGGTTCATCCATCTAGAGAACAGAAACATCATCATGTGATTTATTTGATCAATCAAAATGCCACTTTCTCTTAAGATAGGACATGAAATATTTACAGGAAGTTATCTGCAGTGAAGACATACAATATTTTAAGGTTTTGTTTTATAATAAAACAGGAAATTATAAGCTGCTTATAGATATTCCACAAACAGAAGTGGAGGCTAACTTTTTGGATAAATTATTCATGGTGAGTCACTCATTCAGCTCTACTGTGAACCTCATTTTTCTGTATGGCTTCAGTTTCCTGAGATTTAGTGCTTCTCCTTTTTCCTCTGTGCATCCCTAATTTATGCACCAGAAGGATGCATTAATCCGAAGAGGCAGTCATCCAAAAATGAGGATGGTCCATGTGTTCCTAAGAGAAAAATGTTTGAAAAACAGAGGATGTGCAAGTTTCTGCAACATCAGGGAAGCTGTAATTTATGCATTATCAATTACTATAGCTTTTCCCAAGCAATTTTGCTTTTCCCTGTGAAATACATGCTATCTTAGGAACTACTGTGTAACAGATTATTCTCTCTGTTAGAGGTGTGGACTACCTCCATAAAGAAACATACTTTGGTTTAAAACAGTGAGCTAAACAGCCAACAAAGCCGTTGCCCAGTCCTTATCTTGGTATTTGTCATTTCTACAGTACCTAATTCCATAATGGGTATCTCCACAGTCAAGCGGCTTTACTGGCATACAAGTCAGGTGATCAACTTTTATGAATCTATTTGTTTATGAAAAACTAGAGGAAGAGAGGCAGGGGCTGCCTTTTGGAAATGTAGCCTACGAATGGCATTCCTATTACTCATACCGATATTCTTGTGGAAAAACTACTGAACATCCTCAAGAATTAAAGACTGAAATAGTCCGTTGTGTTCCCTAGATACAGATATTGGAACCACTGTCTTTTCTGACCAAGGTTCTAAATGCTGTGTTGGCTGAGAAATTTAAATCCATGCTTAATTAATTTCCCCTTTTCCCCTGGCTTATCCTATCTGACAAAGCACTTTTGCACTCCTTATTGAGTTTCTGTTACAAAGTGCCTTGGGATACTTCTACATGAAAGGCGCTACATAAGCTTACATGCTCATATTGTATTGTTATTAGTTTCGTAACATTGATTGGTTCTAGAGCATTTGTTAGCCTTTTCTTATTCTGCAAGTTGTGTTTCACAAAAGTAGAGAATGAAATAAATGAAAAGCAAAACAAAGAGTTGCAGTCACCAATTAGAGTCAATAATGCATGAAAATTTCTCTCTTCTAAATTTCAGGGGTTGTATTATTGATTAATGGAATTCAATGCCAAAAAAATCTATTGATTTCAAGAAAGCCAAGATTTCATCCAGAAATCTGGCTAATGGTTTTGCTATCATCCATCTTTTCCTGAGAAATAGGACCACTTATCTGCCTAAAAAGTATATTTTCAGAAAAACATCACCTTAAGGACCAAGTTGTGTTTTAATATTTTTTGTTTAGTAAAATAACTAAAATTTCTCTTGCACTGTACTGGGTTTTCAGAGGACAGTACTTTTCTTCCCCATACTGACCACATATACATGTTGAACTGCCAAACTTGCACTGATTTCATGTAATTATATTCCTCAAGGAATCCAAATCCAATCCAAATCCAAATTCAATTTTCTTTATACGTGAATATTATTAATACTGCTGTGGTTTTAGTTCAGATTTATATGACTTTTTTTTACTATATCTACTGTATATGCTGTAGCATTGAAGCATAATATGCTAAACTTAATAAGTCCTTCAAAACAGAACTGTTTCTCCTTCCAGTCTTAATTATTTACTTATGAAAAACATGGTTTAATTTTTCATTTAGCAATGTAGTGTTGTGGTGATTTCATTGGTAGCTAAACTACCTACAGGAAGATGCGAATCTTTTGTCACAACCTAAACACAGCAAAATACAATACGTGGTAGAAGTGAGTGCCGAAGCCAGGATATCTCTGTCCCATACATTCAAGTTTGAATCTGACACCTTTCGGGCATAACATCTCTGCTGTATCCATCTTCTGCAAGAAGCAGAAAGAAGAGGTCTTCTCCTAGATGATTTAGTCATGGACCACTGAAAGGACCAGGACCTTCAGCTGTGTTCAGGATTAGAATGAAAACCAAAGGGAAGTGAGGAATATTGGTGTGATGTATTCTCATTACTGTGTTCTATTTAACAGATGGGATACAGTACGATGAACCATCTGTAGGTTATGGAGTGGCATCTGGGTCAGACCAAGGAAGAGCAAATTGGATCAGTCCAAGCATGGGATTACAAAAGCATAGATCAGTTTGGCTAAGTCCGTATCTGAATAGAAAGGGTACCTATTCTGGGTTAGATACAGGTGAAAACAAGCCTTTCTGGCTTCTGTTACTAATAATTAATGAAGACTACACAAGGCACTGGTGTTTCAAGTCATGGAGAACAGTCCTGCTCTTTGGTGAGAATAGTTACACTTCTCCTTAATCTCTGAAGTGTTGGATCATTTCTTCAAAAGGACCATTTCTTCAAAAGTAAGGAAAGTTACTTTTTATCTGGCACTCTTGTTCCAGATGTTGTGAGACATTTTAGATATTCAGATAAGTTGAACTGTTCAGTGTGAATGTATAGAGATATGAGTGTCTTGGTTTTAGCAGAGAGAGAATAGAGCAGAGCTGTCTGGATGTTTCTTGATAGAAGGAGTAACTGGACACTTCACCTTTTGCTGCTGTCTCTTGATTAAGAGGGTGAGAAACCAGCAAGGCAACCCTGCAATCAAAGGTACTGAAGTATTTCAGAAGGTTTATGTTACTAAAATGTATTCCTTTTAACTTTATCCAAAATGTTTAAGAGGTATGTCAATATAAATAACAGTATTGACAGCATACTATAAAGCATTTTGCTAACTGAAGTAGTGATAACTTATACTATAATCCTGAATATTTTGCTGGTTTCCTCTAAGTACTGGTAGATGATTCCGATTATATCTGAACTATAGTTTCAGACAGTAATGGAATGATGAAAGTCAGTTTGATAGACAGAAGATGATTTGGCCACGCAGGAAAAGTTCATAGCATGAAAGAAAAGGACTGTGCATGCCTAGCTGCATTTAAAAAGGAGTGATTCATTGGTAACTCTTTTTGTGATCTTCACAAAATAAGCAGGTTTTTAAGAAGCATTTGTATGAAAAGAATGCAGTAGTCTAGCAGATGACCTGAGAAAGAGGTGAAAGCAGTACTTAGATGGTGGAAGAAGTCGGCACATGAAACAAAATCACACAAAAAGCCTTAAAGATGTTCCTCAGTAAGAACTGAGATTATGATTGATTTGTGTAGCTATCACCTTCACAATACTCTTATCCCATACCACTGCTTAAAAGTAGACAGAGACTGAGAAAGCTGTTTGTTCCTAGCCTGCATCTGGAAAAACTGTCAGGTTTGTCCTTTGGGCTTGACTTCTGTTTCCACAGGAGTTGGTCGTAGACTCAGGATTTTCTGGAAACTGCTGGGAAAAAAGCACATTTTTCATAATCCTGAATAAGCACATTTGGAATAGAACTGAGGTAGACTTGCATTTCCTGGTGACTCATCTGTCTCCTACTGGCAGAGAGTGTGGGACTCTCGCAGTCCTTAATGTGCTCTGCTGAAGCAAAGTGTGCCCCCGAGTCCAAATAGACTTAGTAGTAAATGCTAAATGAAGATGGTCAATAGTTGTATCTACTGCCAGGATATTTACCCTGATTTTGTACAGACATGTCTGAGCTTGACAAAAAGTCTTTTTCTGCAATTGAAGATTGGGTGTTGACAGCGTATGTGCCCAGCTCTCCTCCCAGTGTTCCCTATGACGGTAACTGGGTGGGACAGAGTTGTATACCAACTTCTCATTCAAATATTTCTCCATGATACATCTAGATTAGGCATTTCACCTGAGAGAAAGATCTGTGTCACGCTGGTTGTATTGATAACTGATCTTCAGTTAAACAATGGCATTAATCTTAAGAGTA